GGCCACACACAGCTCTGCCCCAGCCCTGCTCACAACCCCCGCAGACGCCGCTCCTGGTTCAGCTTCTGGAAGAAGGTCTTGCCAAATTCGTAGGTGCTGATCATGATGGCGCAGGCAGGTGCCACCTTGATGACACGGGGCAGGAAGCCTGCAAGGACAGCGCTGTCAGCCCTGGGGTGACACCAGGGCACCTGGAACCCCAGCACAAGGCCGGGGCACGTCCTCACCTGCAAACAGCCCCCGGGTGCCAGACTCGGCGCGGATCCGCTGCATGAGCAGCCAGGTGGAGGAAGGCTTGGAGGCTGAGACTGTGGGGAGAGGGGAGCAGGTAAGGGTCTAGGGATGCCCCTGAGGAGTCCTGGATGCCCCCCAGGCACCTGCCCGCAGGCCTGGCCCCTCACCTGGGTGCACCTCGCTGTCTCCCAGCTCGATCTGCCGCTGGGTTTTGACCACGTCGAAGGGCAGCGTCAGCACCGCGGCCACCTGTGGGGTTGGCACCGGGCAGTGAGCCTGGACCTGGTGACAGCTCTGCTGTCACCTCCCTGCACCATCCCAGCCCGCCCCTCCCTCCCACAGGGACCATCCCCCACCTTGAGTGAGCTTCAGCACCCCAAACTCACCGTGCCAGAGATGGCCCCAGATGTGAAGCTGACCATGAACGTGGCCTCTTCCAGCCAGGCCTTCCTGCAGAGCCACGTCCTCACCAGCTCATAGTTAAACCAGTACAGAGCTGGGGGGAGAGGAGACACCAGTGCTACAACTGGACACCCTGGACACACCAACCCCCCGGCCCTGGTTCCCTGCCACCTCCCAGTGCCACCACAGCCATACCCGAGAAGGGGACGTCCCGCAGCACGGTGGGTCCCCAGCCTCTCCAGAGGGACAGCCAGCCATCCTGGGCCACTGCTGACTGGATGCAGACACCCAGCTCGCGGTAGCTGAGCTGCCGGGACTGCATCTTGGTGCGGATCAGCTCCAAGGGGCTGATGACCGTCACGGCACCCACTGCAAGGAGGGGACACCGGGAATCAGCTCCGTCCGCTCCAGCGGCTGTCCCGGAGCCATCAGCACCATGCTGGGAGAGCCAGGTGCCGAAACTGGGCACCAAGACCTGCCACGCTCTGCTGGCACCACAGGGTGGGCACGGGGAGACCCCCAGGGAGGAGGGGTACTCACGCCTGGCGAGGGCCCCGGCCAGCAAGGGGATGTGGGGACCCCGACTTCCCGTCCGGGCGTGCAGGTAGTCCCGGAGCTGGTCGTAGGTGGTGAAGTAAATGACGGTGGCTGGCACAGCCATGACCCTGTGAGGAGGAGGAGGAGGAGGGGAGTGAGAGGCACATGCACTCCCTGAGGGCCAGCAGGGGCTTGGGACTGATGCCTGTGTGCCCAGGCAGGTGTTAGCACCCAGAATGCCCAAACTCACAGGGTGGGGGGCAAGCCGCTCCACAGGGACCTGATGCCCTCGTAGCGTGTGATCTTCACAAAGGCATCCTGGGGAGAGAGGGGAGCACCAGGGAGAGGAGTTAGAGAGAGGAGATGGGCAAACACCTCCCCAGCAAACACCCCTCTGGGATAGGGAGGCCCCTGCCCACCCTGCCGTGCCCACGGCCCCTACCAGTGTGCCAGTGAAGTGGGTGGGGGCCTTGTACCAGGCGGTGCAGCCGTTGCCGTTCTGGCAGACGTACAGGTGGTCCATGAGCCCATTGCAGTAGAGGAAACACTTCCCTGAGGCAGGAAGTAATGGCATCACTGTTAGACAGGAGACCCTTCCCCTCTGCCCCACACCCAGCACATCTGATCCCAAAGCCTTCCTTCCAGGAAGAAGCCAAACCGTCAGTGCTTGAGCCCAGTGGGACCAGCCCCAGGCCAAGGCCAGGAGAGGGACAACCCTCTGGTCAGGGTCTGACCACAGCCAGACCCGCAGGGTGGGGGACACACAGCCCCACGGCAGGGATGGGAGCACAGCAGGACTCACTGCCAGTGGCAGGAGGGGTTTTATGCCTTGGTTGGTCTTGGCTCTGTTGCCGTGGCACGGTGGGGACACCACAGCCCCTCCACTGTGCTCTCAAGCCAGGCAGAGGGACCCAGGCAGTGGAGATCCAAAGGGACTTTGACATAGCCACAGTACAGAGAGGGGGAGCACAGAGAGCCAGGCCTGTTGCACAACAGACCCCCCAGCAGACCCCATGGATGTGGCATAGCCAGCCCCAAAGCAGGGCTGCAGGAACAGCCAGGGCTGGGGACAATGGTAGCCCCCACACCACAGGGATGTCCCTACAGCCAGAGGAGCCCGAGCTGCCACCAGTGGAAAAGCAAACTGGCATCAAGGTTTGGGAAAGCAAAGCCACTGGCAGCAGGAGCTGCCTGGAGCCCCCGGGCGTACTCACATGTGGCCGGCTGAGCGCCCCAGGGCACTGCCTGTGCTGGCAAGGCTGAAACACACAATGGGGACACACTGAGCACTGGCACCAGGATGTGCCACCTCCCAGGGCTGGGGCACACGTGTGTGCTGCAGCTCCGAGCTGGGTTGTGGGAGAACTCCGTGGGTGAAGGGGCTGGATGCCCCCGCAGCCACTTCCCAAGTAGTCCCTATTGTCACCAAACCAGTCCCTTGGGCCCAGCCCGCTGACCCCACGGGACGGGGGCAGATGGAGGGCAGAGCCCATGAGGAGCAGTGTGGAGATTGGAACAAAGGCAGTGGGGGAACAGCGAGCAGCTGGAGCAGGGTGGGCCCCTCTGCCCTGCTCCCCAGGGGCTGGGGGCTGCCAGGCACAGCGCTGACCCCCCTTGGCACTGGGCTGTGTAGGGGGAAGGACAGAGCCAAGCCCGAGCCCAGTTCCCCCAGCAGGGCCCCCCGAGCTCATCAGGATGAGGGGCCCATGGTAACCTGCCACCTCGCAATGGCCCCAAGCTCTGGAGCCAAGACATCCCTGCCACTGGCTCTGCCAACCAAGCCATCCCAGCCAGCTGGCTGGGGGGCTGGCTGGAGCCCCCCACCCTGCCCTGAGCAGGGTTACCTTTGGAGAACGGGGTCCTCTGGGCCTGCAGCCGGATCTTCACCACGTCCAGCGGTGTCACTGAAACAACACCACCCTTTAGCCATGACTCCCCCCGTGCCAGCCCCCTGCCCTGGTGCCCACCCTGCGGTGCTCACCGAAGAGGGAGGTGAGGATGGCGCCTGTCCCCGAGGCCAGCATCTGCTGCAGTGGTGTGATGCCCACGCCGGGGCTCGGTGACGCCTTCTCAGCCATGGCACCGTCCCCCTGCAAGGCACGGCGGGGGATGCTGGAGGCCAGGGGGGTCCCTGGCTCCCCTGGGAGCCCCCCCAGCATCCCCACTCCAGTGGTGCGAGGTCAGTGTCCCACCTCCACCGCGCTATCGGTGCAGCACAGGGCAGGCGAGGGCCCCCCATAATCGTGGTGGCCCGAGGGGGGGACAGGGACTGGCTCCCGGGGCTGGCCCAGCCCCGATAACACCCTCTTGGCCCCACGCTGGCAGCGGGCCCAGCCTGGCTGGAGAGGTGGGGACAGTCCAGGCCAGCCTTCCATGTCCTTGGAGAGGGAGGACTCTCCCCTCCCTGTGCTTGGAAAATTAAGGACAGGAAGGAACAAAGTCCAAAGATCAGCCCTGGCTGGGAAGGCAGCAGAGCCTGTGCAGCAGAGCAGTGCACCAAGGGAGGGGGGATTCCCCTCATGAGCTTCCAACAAGCTCCCCAAAAAGGGTTTGGGCATCCCAAACCTTCTGCCTGATTCCCCCGAGGTTCGGCAAGGCTGCAGCCCCCGGAGCTGATGTGCTGCCTTCAGGAAGCAGGGGATACTGCACCCTTCCCAGGGAGGAGGACACAGAGAATCGACCTCCAGCATGCTCAGAACCAACTGCTCCCTCCTGCCACAGCCCGGGGATGATCCTCACGCTGGGACAGGGCTGGGGCCACAGCAGGAGGGCTTCCAAGCTTTGGGAACCTACAGGGTTTTTTAAAGCCAGGGAATGCAGCAAAAAACCTTCCCCATCTGACTCAGCAATTTGCAAGGTCAGAGGAGTCATAAATCTCTCGGTTACAGGCTCAGGAGTTGCTGGGTGCCCAAGGCTGCGAGTCAGGACAGGTCTGTCCTGAACCCACATGTACCAACCCCACCGGGAGCCGGGTCTGTGCTGAACCCACACACACCTGTCCCACCAGGAGAGCTGGATCTGTCCCAGCCCCACACGTGCTGGCTCCACCAGACCTGGGTTTACCCTGGCAACACGCACACTCAGCCCCACCAGGAGACCTGGGTCTGTCCCAGCACCACACACTTGGCCCCACCACGAGATCTAGGTTTACCCTGGCACCACACACACCAGCCCCACAAGTCACTGGGCCTGTCCTGGCACCACACACCCAGCCCCATGGGGAGCTGGGTTTACCCCGGCACCCGGCACACGCCGGCCCCACTGGGATCTGGGTGCTGTCTGGGCACAGGTCCCAGTGCTCCCGTCACGGGACGGCCGTAGTGCTCGCCCCACTGACCCCACAGCCATTGCAAAACCGTGGGCAGGGCGCTGGGGTTGGATCCCTGCCCCAGACCCAGCCCTGCTGCTCAGTCTTACGTAAGCCGGGGGAAATCTCTCGCTCCCAGCTCTGCAGCACCTGATAAACTCACTTAGTTATACGTGACATGCCCCAACACAGCCCCCCTGTTGGTGCTGGGGGAGTGAGGCACCTCCAGGGCTCCCTTCTCAGCTGGGAGCTGCTCCCTTATCCATCCAGGATAAAATAAGCCCTACGCCCCCAGCCCAGAGCCCCCTGCTCAGCCTGGAGTGCTGATGGGGCTGAGTACAGCACAGTGATGACCAGGACAAAAAGGGGGAGAAACAAATATAAGTTAAGATGATCAATGCAAAAAATTCCCAGGGACAGGGGACTGGGGGGGAGCTCAGGGGGCTCTTCCCACACTGGAAGGGCCCAGCTGGGCACTCCAGCCCTGAGCCAGAGGGAAATCCTGCCGGCAGATCCCCTAGTGCTTCCCAGACCCTGGGCTGCTCCAGGTTTCCCCCAGTCCATCCCTGTGGGTGCCCAGAGAGCACAGGGGCTCATCCTGGTGGGGGACGAACCACTTTCTCCTGGAGCAGGGGATGGTGCTGGAGCGTCCCCCAGGGCTCACAGGGACCCAGCCTGGACCGCTGCCCCGGGGAGCCCCCCAGGGCAGGGGCAGCCTCCCCTACCTGTGGTCTGCACCCCTACCTGGGTGGAGCCTGCAGCCCCCACTGCCCCGGGGAGCTCCCTTACCTGGGCTCTGCACCTCTACCTGGGGTCCGCACCCCTACCTGGGGTCCGCACATCCCCTCGAGCTTGGAGCCCCCACCCCAGGGCTGTGTCCTCTCCCCCGGGCTTTGGCAGTCGGCCACTCGGCAGGAGATCTCCCGTCTCCCTGGCTCTAAGCCCCCCTCTCGCCAGGGTCTGGCAGCCACACCAGAGCGTCTAGCGGCATCGTACAAGTTGCAGCGGGTGGTTCCCAGGAGACCACCGGTGGGCTTGCCCCCCTCGCCCCCCCCCCATCTGCCCGGCCCTGGGAAGCGGAGCCGCGGGGGTCCCGAGGCCGCGCGCCGTTCCCAATCACAGCGCACGCCCCCTCGCATCCGGGGGGAAACTGAGGCACGCGCGGCGCGTGCCGGACCGCGAGGGCGGGTGCCGGAGAGGAGGAAAAGGGTGTCGGGGGAGGTGCCTGGGGAGTGGCCCGCCCCACCTGCTCAATGTCCCAGTCCGGCTCCGGCGGCGTTCCCTGAGCGGGGCACCTGCAGGCGGCGGAGCGGACGGGCGGCGCCTTTAAGGATCCCCGCCATGAGCCCCGCGCGCCCTTCGCCGGCGCGCCGGCCGCCGCGCGCCGCACTTCGCCCGCCCGCCGCGGACAAGGGCGCCCAGCGTGCCCCGCGCGCCCACTGGCGCCCGCTGCGCGGCCGGGGCAAGGGGAGGAAAGGAGCGTGGGCGCCGCGCGGCGGGAACGCGCGTGATGGGGCGCGTCGGGCACGCGCCTTGTGCGCACCCTGCACACGCGGGCGCGCCTTGCACGCTCACCGTGGCGGGGAGGGACGGAGGGGCGCGCCTTGCACGCTCACCGGTTTTGGGGGGCGCCTTGCGCACGCTGTACTGACAGAGGGGCACCTTGCACGCTCACCGCGATGGAGACGGACACACCTTGCACACCTCGAGTGTTCACCGGGCTGAAGAGAGAGGGACGTGCCTTGCACACTCCCTGAGCTGGGGAGGGACACCCTGCACTCTCACCGTGATGGACAGGTGTATGCCTTGCACACTCATGGTGCTGAAGAGAGAGGGACGTGCCTTGCACACTCCCTGTGCTGGGGAGGGACAGCCTGCACACCCACCGTGCTGGGGAGGAACACACCTTGCACACTTACCATGATGGAGAGGGACGTACCTTGCACACTCACCATGGTGGAGAGAGAGAAAGGGGCACGCCTGGCACACTCACTGTTCTGACACAGGGGCACACCTTGCACACTCACTGTTCTGACACGGGCACACCTTGCACACTCACTGTCCCCATGCTGGCAAAAGAGCACGCCTTGCACGCTCACTGTGCTGGCAGAGGGACACCCCTGGCACACTCACCGTGCTGGCAGAAGGCTGTGCCTTGCACACTCGCTGTGCTGAAGGCTCGGGGCTCTCCCACTCGCCCTCCCAGGCCCAGCAGGGTTTGCACACTCGCCCTGCCGGCAGTGTGATGTGCTGCACGCCCGGGTGGAGGGGCAGGCTGGGACACGGGCACGGTGCCGTGCCAGGGCCAGTGCTGCTCCGCTGCCTGCACAGGAACAAAGCCCCTCAGTTCCCAAAGCACTGGCACTGGAGTGCCCAGCAGCTCCCTGTCCTCTCCCGGGCCCTTGGAGCGGGATGCAGACAGCCTGCTCTGCCACTTCCACCTGGGCCCGTGAGAGTTGGGATTAACTTCGGGACCTGCCTGGTCTGGGGGGCTGGAATCCCATCTCTGCTTGGTGCAGACCCTCATTTTCAAGTATTGGAAGTGCTGTGTTTCCTGGGGAGAATCCTGAGTCCTTCTGGGCGCAGTAGTGAGCTCCCTGAGGGGCTCTTATTTCTGTTGGTGGTTAAATCTGGAGAAGATTTTCTCAGGAGGAATTTCTTCCTGGAAAGGGTGGTCAGGCATTGGAAGGGGCTGCCCAGGGAGGTGGTGGAGTCCCCACCCCTGGAGGTGTCCAAGGAAGGACTGGACATGGCACGCAGTGCTCTGGGCTGGGGGACAAGGTGGGCATCGGGCACAGGGTGGACTCGAAGTCCTTGGAGGTCTTTTGCAACCTCAGTGATTCTGTGAAGATGGTCCAAGTGCATCCGTGTGCCCCTGGAAGGGAGGAGAGCCCTTCTGGTGCCCTTCGCCCCCACGCTGTAATCTGGGCTGATAACAGCAGATGGCTCCCAAAGCCCCTCCAAAACCTGCACAGCCCCCCGGGACTGCGGCTCTGCCCCAGCGGGTGACTGGGTGATGGGGTTGGAGAACTGGGATGAGACCACAGCGGTGCTCCAGCTGGCGTGTCCTCCAGGGAACCCGCAGGTCAGAGCTTCCCGGGGACTCCACTTGCGTGGACACGTCCCTGCAACACAACCTGTTGTGGTGCTGTGTGATGCAATCTCTGCCTTAGAGCAGCGCTGAACTTTCGCCCTGGCTTAATCTCGAGGATAAATCCTGCCCTGGTGCCCACAGCACCATCCCGTGGGAAGGACAGGGGATGCTCAGGGACAGGTGATGTACAGGTGCCAGAGCAGCCTCTGCCTGGTGAGCAGGAGGATTCAGGGCTCGGAGCCTGCAGATCCAGGGGGTTTACTCAGGAGCCTACTTCACCCACGGTGATGTTCCCTGTCCTTTTGTGGAGCTGGCAGGGACATGGTGGCTGCACTCATCCAGGAATAAAGTCCCTCCTGGCCACTGGCATCTCTGAGGATTGTCAACAAAGGGGGCAGCTAGTGCCAGGACCTGCCCTTCCATGACACCAGGTCCAAGGGAATCTTGGCTTTAAGTGATGGGAGCCCAGGAGCCTCACAATTCCCACAAGGTCCCCTAAGTGAATGCATCCTGTGACTCCCCGATGAGTCAGCTCTGCCTCTTACAGAGACACGGGTTTTAAATGATGTGAAAGCCTCTCGCAGCTGGTAATTGAGAAATGGAATAATGATTAATTAAAATTTATATCTCCTTAGGGGTATTGGGTCTTGTATCTTCTGGTTTAGGTGTTGGGCTGTGCTTGGCTTCCACACAGCTGAAAAGAAAAGGA